CAATATTAAAAATAAGTAAATCCATATGGAATAATTTTTGAAAATATTAATATATATCTATTTTTCAGTTTTCATACACAGCCCTATAATAATTGAATAACTGTAGATGAGTCGCYACTTCCGGTGTTCCTGTTCTGGTTCTTTTCCGCAGCTGTTTGACGCCTCCTCAGCTGCTCAGTGACACTGATGTGTGTCAATCTGACCCAATTAAGAGCCTTATGCTCTGAAGCTGAAAGAAGAAGAAGAAGAAGAAGAAGAAGAAGAAGCTTCTGCTGCATCTTGATCATACAAGACTCCTCATTAAAGTAAATCTCCCTGGAGTGTATGGTAACCCCTCCAGATTCCATTTTCTTGTCCCATTTTGTCTCTTTGAGATCCTCATTTAGAGGTTTACACATTTATTTATGGGGTTTATTTTAGCATGTATACCTGTGTGAACATTTGTAAGGAATTGTATGAATATATGAAACATGACAGAACTGTTACCAGAAGTGCATAAATATGTGTAACAGGTGGTAGAGAAATGGTGAAGTGTTCCTTCCTGGTTTATTTATGTGTTTCCAGTCTTTTGAGGCTTCAAGGTGTTCATATAGACTATGATGCAAAGTCAAATTTAGTTTTGATGTATACAACATTTTCATAATAACTGAAGGAAACATAGGTAAATGTGTGGTTTAGAATTGAACTATGGAAAATACCACCCCTCTAAAAATTTTACTTTATTTGTTTATCACATACTTTAGTATAAGCTCAGAACAAAACAAGTTATTTTTAAATGATAGCTTGCTGACAATATTAATGATGACTTGATATGATTTTAAAACTGCAGCATGATGCAGTGCAGATGTCAGCATTCAGCTGAATCCAACCTCTATTCTCTAGCATGACTTCTCTACCAACTCTTACAGTTTTTTCCACACAAAGTCTGCACTGAATAAGCGTTTCCACAGCTCACAACTTGTTATCAGTCCTGAACCAGAAATGTTTCAGAGTACGATCACACGAGCCAGATTCTGTGTCCAGATCTATTGGTTTCATCTGAATCACTCTTGTTGGTAGATGGACCTAAACAGTGAGCAAATCAAGAAAATATACAAAAAAAAAAAAAAAACCTTCAGTGTACAACTTCTGGTGAAGTTGATCTTTGAAATAGTTCAGACTGATCCGTTACAGATGTGCAGGTAATTTTAACTGTTCTGTTCTTCTGAGAAAATTGGCTCAGTTTTATGTAACCTTACAGAAGTATTACCTGCTCTGTAAAAGAGATTTAACACAGTTTAGTTGGTCATCAGGGAGAAAAGGATTGTTCCCTTGAATCAAATGTCTAACAGCAACCAAACCTTTAGCACTTTTAAGGTGGTGCCGAACAATTAGAGGTTTTAAAGGGGCAGTCTGCTTATATTCAAAGAGATGTTTTAAGTTAGTACCTTATAGCTTACCTTACAGGCTCTGGTCCTTTAAAGTGGGCCTGACTTTCAAAAGCTGGCAGTCAGACCCACTTCAAAGATCCCTTAGCCTGTTGTAGGTATTTCAACAACAGTCTATAGGACTGCCCTACAGGCCTGGATCAGACGTCAACACTCAATCTGCAGGAGGGAGATGATGGACTGTTGACAGGCACAGGAACTGATAAATGGTCCAAATCTTATGTTTGGGAAACTTCTGACAAGGAAAASTTTAAGGACACTGGTTGRAGTGCTAACTGGGCACACTCTGCTGAACCGCCACAAAGTGGTGATGGGACTCCATGACAATGGTCTGTGTGATGCCTGCGGTACTGAATTAGAGACTTCTTTGCACCACTGAGGCCACTGTCTGGCTCTGAGCAATCAAAGGAAAAGAATTCTTGGGGACCCCTTTATGGGTTTTGAGAAACTTCGAACACGAAGGACGGTTAAAGCTCAGTGTCTTTTTGGGGACAGCAATGGTCCCACTTGCAAGGCCCACTTATGAGRCCCCCGCTCATATGAGTTCTTATCCATCCCTACTCACCAAACCAATAAGTCATGGTGCATGTGTCAAGATTTCAGGATTTTTCTTGTGTTCAGCGGCTTTCATTCTACCAGTCAACGGACTGGGTATCGAAACTGGGAATCTAAATTTTAAAATTCTGTAACGTTAGTACCGGTTCCGATCGATACTCAAGTCTCGATGCCCAACTCAAGATGGAGAAAGAAGCACAAGTCTTTGTCCAGGTTAGGCTAATGGCTAAACAAACAAGTGGCATTTTTATCGTGTTTTTCAAGCTAATAAAACGTAAACTGGAACAAACTGTGTTTAAAAAACAAAGACAAACTAAACATAATATCATTCAAAAACTTTAGGAGTTTATTGTCAGCTAATAAAGCTTTCATTTACAAYGGTATATCATTTTTGTGGAAAAGACATTTTCTAAGCCTCAAAACTGGCAAGCAAAAAATGGCACTRGACTTTTGCCTCTTTTTAACTGAAGTTGCGGCTGATGAGGTGTTTTAAGTTGACTATTTATCTAATGTGGTCAGGCATCACTGATACGAAGTTATCAAACCAAGCGACAGCGTCTAAAATGGGGACAGAGATGAACCTGACAGCTGGTCATCAGTCAGACCTAAGTTAGGATGCATCTGTAGTCTCTGTGCGTTGGGTTGTCCTCTGCAGAGCTAGGCCCTTGATCAGAGGAACTGRGACCACAGGAGAGGCCAGAAAAACTGGAGCACCACTGATTGTCGGAGGAGGAACAGCAACGAAAGAACGGGGGCTGGCTAAAAATAATGCATCTCCAAGGAGAACTGGAATACACGCACACACACACACACACACACACACACACACACACACACACACACACACACGCACACACACAGGATGGTAGAAGATCATATCATACAGGTACATGTATATGGAAAATGCTCTGAGATGATGCACATTTAACATAAGTAAAACAGAAAATAATCCAGATAWCTCATTGGCTAACCTCAAACATTAGTTTTAAGTGCTGAATTTCTCAGAATACCAGATATATTATTCTCTTTTYAAATTTAAAAGCTTGCAGAGTCGTGTCAGACAACCTTACACACAAATTTCAGTGTGCTTCCTGTAASTGACAGAGAGGAATGTAACGGGACCTGTTAGCCTCACACAAATACACACGTTTGCAGTTGAAAGTGCCAACASATCGTTTTTCTGCACGCCTGTTGTCGGAGCTTTTTCAGGTCACATCATTTCTCACCTACTCAGAGACTGTTCTTGTTTCTGCAGAGGTGTTATTCTGGATTTACTCAAGTTGATTTGATTTGTTGGCATCAAAGTGATTTCCTTACCTTTATGCTCCTGAGCCCAGACTCTCCCCAGCTCTGCCTGGGAAAGCCAGATGAGGAGAACAGCACAGAGCCCCATGTCAGGACACTTCTTCTTCATCCTTCCCCTACTTTGATCACTCTTCTCCTTCTTTCGTTCCCCCCTCTTGCTTTGCTTGAAGGAACAGGGTTGCCTCACTCCTCCTTCTCCCCTACCTTTAGTTTCTCGTCTCTTCTCCTCCACTGACCTGTTATTTCCTCAATTCAGTCAAGGTTTATTGCTTTTATTCCCTCCTCCGTCTGCCTCCCTTCCTCACGTCCCCTCAGAGTAAATCTTGTGATGAATCCATGGCAGGAAAGGAGATGACAAACAGCTGAAGTCTCTCCTCTTTTTTTCTCTTCCTTTTCCTCCAATCACTTTATTTTCTTCTCCTTAAAGTAATTTTTACTGTATACTTTTCACTCCCTCGTCTCTGAGTTGGTTTGTTTTCTTGGGTTTTGCCAAGGTTCTTCAGGTTTCTGCAATACTTCTCCAAAGCGGAAATATTTATGCATTTCTTCATTTTTTTCTCTTCATCTAAAAAAAAAGAAAGAAAAAAAGGGGGGGGGTTGTCAGAGTTGGGAGGAGCATGTCTCCCCCACGTGGAAACATGCTGAACCATAACAAGGGAGAGTTAGGGAGTTTACATTTGGACAAGAGCTTCCCTTGTGAGTTATTTAAAAAAAATCGTATCTTTCGAACAATTTTATGATTTTTTTCTAACTTTTACTGAAACAAACATTTGTTTCTGCAGCCAAATCTGTTTTTTCTGAACATGTGTTTACATATTGAAAATTGTAACCCCGATTTGACTTATTTGAGGACAAATATGTTTGTCTAATGGTCTTCTGTTTATAAATCATGTGTTGGGAAATGGAAAGCTCTTCTTCCCTCCATCTTCTGCCGGTTGTCTGTAGTCGGGTCACTGGGGCAACAGGTCCAGGAGAGAAACCCAGACGTCCTTCTCCCCGGTAACACTGTCCACATTGTCCTGGGGGACCCAGAGTTGTTTTCAGGAGGATCGTTCCTGGGTCTTCCCTGGGGCCTCCTACCGTGTGCCTGAAATCAGCCTAATCAGAAGAACCACCTCAACTGACTCCTTTCGATGCAGAGGAGCTCCCCCTGATGACCAAGCTCCTCACCCTCTCTCTAAGGCTGAGCCCACCCTACTTAAAAATCTCATTTCGGCTGCTTGTATCCAGGATCTTGTTCTTTCAGTTATGATCCACGCCACATGACCACAGGTGAGGATTGGAACGAAAACAGAAAATCGAAAGCTTTGCCTTTCGACTCAGCTCTTTCTTCACCACGAATGACCGAAGCACCTGAGCATCCTCATTACTGAGGATGAGGCCCAAATCCATCAATCCATGATCTCCCATTCCATTCTACCATCATTCGTGAATAAGAGCATCCAGATACTCTGACCCGGAGAGGACCTTTCTTCCTTTTCTGGTCACGAACCATGGCCTCAGATTTAGAAGACCCAGCTGCATCTCACTCAGCTGCAAACCGCCTTGAAATCCTGTTCATAAACACTACAAACAAGATAAAGACAAGAGACAGCCCTGGTGGARTCCAACCTGAGAATGAGCTTGACTTTGTGCCAAGAATGCAGACCCAGCTCCTGCTCTGGTTCTACAGGGAATATGTTTGCTTTATTTGAAGCGACGTGCCGGCTCTTTCATATGAGGTAAAACCTTATGGAAGGGTCGATAAAAGTTTAAGGGACTTGAAATATTGACCCGTTGACACCCCGAAACCAACAAAGCTGCCACCACTGGAGGAACTCTGGCGCTGCGGTTTCACTCTGAACAGAAAAATGAATTCATGTGGTGTCATTTGGAAAACAAAGTCAGCAACAGACCACATAACAATGGAGACAGCTAACATCGGAGTTCCCCTTTTAAAAAAAGCAAAACAAAACATAATGTGAAGCTAAGAAACGCATCCCCCAAACACCAACTGATTCTGTATTTGGCGTCTCTCTCAGATAGAGTATTTTTGGAGAAACGCTTGCGGTGATTGATGTGATCGCTGAGTAGCAACGACCCTTGTTCCAGATTTTACTCATAACCTCGTCTTCTTTCACCCTTTTAAAAAATGACACAGAGAAACGTGGCTGTTTCTCATTAAAGATGGATTCAACAYCTTTTATCTTGTTCCAGTTGGAAACAGGTTACAGAACAATATTCAGGTTTTATACCAGGAATACACTTCAAACATCTGACACTAAAATAAAACGTATCTAATATTTTTAAGTATAAATAATATTAGATCAGATTTAAAGGTAAGTCAGCGATGTTCAGGCTTATGTTTTTTGAAAATTGATTAAGTGTGCACATGCTTTTTTTNTTCAAACATCTGACACTAAAATAAAACGTATCTAATATTTTTAAGTATAAATAATATAAGATCAGATTTAAAGGTAAGTCAGCGATGTTCAGGCTTATGTTTYTTGAAAATTGATTAAGTGTGCACATGCTATTTTTTTTTTACTCAAGCAAATCCATGCATCCAGACAGAGGGCGCTCTTTTTCTGCTTCAACTTCTAAGTTAAATTCTGGTCCGTCCATCCGTCCGTTTTCTTCCGCTTATCCAGAGTCGGGTTGTGGGGGCAGCAGCCCAAGCAAAGGGACCCTGATTTCCCTCTCCCCAGTCACTTGGGCCAGCTCATCCAGGGGAATCCCAAGGTGTTCCCAGACCAGCTGAGAAACATAGTCCCTCCAGCGTGTCCTGGGTCTTCCTCTGGGCCTCCTCCCGGTGGGGCGTGCCCGGAACACCTCACCAGGGAGGCGTCCAGGAGGCATCCTAACCAGATGCCTGAGCCACCTCAACTGGCTCCTCTCGACGTGGAGGAGCAGCGGCTCTACTTTGAGTCCCTCCTGGATGACCGAGTTTCTCACTCTATCTCTAAGGCAGAGCCCAGACACGCTGTGAAGGAAACTCATTTCGGCCGCTTGTATCTGCGATCTCGTTCTTTCGGCCACTACCCAAAGCTCGTGACTAGATGAGGGTAGGAACGTAGACCGACTGGTAATACAGCAACTTTAGCCCTCAGATGCTCTGATGAGGATTGTCAGGACCTCGTTTTCACATATGAACCAACTTGACCTCTTCACGTCTTCTAACACACTTTATTGTGTTTTTTAAAGGCGCACTGATGATGCTACATGTTGAATCCTGCACTGCTTTACTTGCTTGAATTTTCATGTGTTCATTAAGTCTCCACCCATTCACAAGCTAAAACATTTCTTGGTAATTGTAAGACGTGACTCCTTATACTCCTCACCATTCAYAGCTGCCCGTAGGGAGTCAAGGTCCATTACAATGGACAGCCGTCAGCCTGCTCATTGTTTGTGTTAGAGCTTAATTACAGGAGCCCACAGCCATGGTGATTCTGACAGATAGCACATTCGTTACGAGCGCCATTAGCAGAGTCATTAACATTGAAAGAACATGCCGAGCGCTTTTTGGAGACAGTTATCTCTTGTTGGCATCGAGTAAATAAAGGGCTGTAAAACCTGATGCTTTACAACAATGTGAGTTTGTAAGAACAGGATGAGGAAATGGAGTTTATATTGGGATTCTTGTCTAAATGCACCACTGTTAAATTCTTTTTTCATTTAAAAAAACTAGCTTGTTATGTAACTGTTACGTTAAATGTTTTCTCCATAGTGTRGAAATTCTAAATACACAATAATCTTGACATTAATGCATATTTTGCATGTACTAATAGCTGCTATTGTTCCCACTAACTGACCTCCAATTAAATCATTAGTCTGTTTTGATAAGAACCAAACAATGGGAAGCTGCAGAAAGTGCAGACTCAGCACTGCCCGCCACCCAGAACATGTTCATTACCAAATAAATAAATAAATAAATAAATAAATAAATAAATAAACAAA